AAAATTAGTGTTAAGAAAGCAAAAAAATAGAAAAACACAGAAAATGTGATGTGCAACTGTAGCAACCGGAAATTGAGTAGATGTATCCGGTTTTCGTGATTACCAGTTTAAATGGTATGTTCTCGCAAGTAACTGTTCCAAATTTTATAATATTTGATCAAATAGTTTCGAAGTTATTACAAAAAAAAAACAAATTTACATACCCAAATTCTGAGGGCTGTAAAATTCTTATCGGTAAAGATTGGACACGAGTTATTATTTCAATTAACATCATTTTATAGGTAATTTTTGAAATTCAAATATTGCTTCATATTAATTTATGAATAACCCTGTATATGATAGTCCGTGTTTTAGATGTGGGAGTAGACAAAAGTACTCCTATTTTTTTAATGTAAAGAGCATAGTACTAAATTTAAGAGAAAAGCTTCAACAACTTTAATACATTTTGAAAAAAAAAAGCTGATTATATGTCGTATAATATTATATTAGTGAAATAATTTCTTAGAGATATTGCAAGAAGTCAAATAATTCTACTGATGGCGATTACTTTTTATGTGCCCCGTCTATTCGTTTTTTAAGCAACCAAGGAATTTAAACTGAAAAATTTTATAATTTCTTTATTTTTACATTCTGACAGTTGTGCTGACAGTTTTATAAAATATTTTGGAAGGTTAAATTATAAATTTGAGGGAAAGTGATGATGACATTGATTTTGGCATTAATTTTGAGGATTTGGCGTAAATTTTATTTTAGATTTGTTTCTAATGTTTTTTGTTGTACATATTAAATCAGACTTTAATAACTGTGATTCGTTATTTTATGTTTGTAATAAACAAATCTCATCTGATAATGTAAAATGCAGTAATTTTAGGGATTAATTTGTCTTCTTTCAACACTTATGTCACTCAGTATAGTTGAAAAAACATTTCCAAACTATTAGGTAATCTTGTCAAGGCAGGTATTTCATCTTACATCAATATAAAAATTCTCATTTCTTGCTTTCCATTCTCTTTGAATAAAACCCGTATCTTTCAGGCTCCGTGCTTCCAAATCGGCATAAATTTTCATCCGTATCAATATTACAATTAGGTGAGCTCTCGAACATATCTCGAACATTAGATGATTTATGAGGTTCGACAAAAAGCCCCGCAATCTTTCACATCTGCAGATTTTTCTAGTCGGAACACTGGCATAAACAAATTTGTATCAAGCGGCCTAATTTCATGTTTTGCACTCATAAATCAATTGCAAAATTTCCTTGTAATTCCCCTAGACACCGGCTCATCGTAAAAACTGGCACAAGAAAGGGTTGTCTTCTTGCCTCCGAAGGAATTTTGTAATAAAATTTATTTTTGTATTGTAATTATCAGCTGTTTTAGACGTTAGTGTTGCATTAACATGCCTCAAGATATTTTTTCGCATCGGATCCGCAATTCGCTGGCGTTCATGGCGTTTCTCCAAACAAAGGCAAAATGTTAAAGATAAATTATTCATATATTTTGCAGCTTTTGTTTCGGTAAGTTAAAATGAAAGCAGTGGCTTGATTCTAAAGACCATTGTTTAGATAAATCACGATAAGTAAAAATGAAAAAATTTGAGGTAATTTTGGTGGATGCGGTGGGATAAAGAGCACAATATCTATTTGTTCACATGTTTACTTATTTCTCTCAAAGCTCAAACTAGTAAATTAATTTTAAATCAAAGTAAATACTACATCTTAGCTTTTGCAAAGTTGCATGAACAAGAGTTCAATTTAGAACTTTGTCAATTGTGCTTATTAACTTTGCTTCTGCTCTTAACGAAGATATTCTTCGTTAGTAACCTAAACAATTCAAACTTTTTTTATTTGATTGTAAACTAAGTACAATCACTAAATGCATTTGATTTCAATGTTTTGATTTTATATTGATACTATAAAAATATTTAATTTTTGCCGCTACCAACCTCAAATGACTAAGATGCATTTACTCTACTCAAGCACTTATTTAAAATTCCTACTGAAACTTTAGCAATTTTAAAACAATTTTAACTTACTGCAATACGAAAATTGAACATTTTCTTATCGGAAATAGATTAACTCTGTCTAGCCTTATGTAAATATATTGCTATTTAAGTTATTTGGCAAAGTTTTCCTCGGCGGCACAGACTTGCAGTTTGAAATGCAATAACGACAATCTAATATACATTTTTATAGATATTTTATTGCGCCCGCTTTAGTAATCTTAAATTATAAATAACGTTTAACTCAAAATTTAATCTGACACACAAAATTGGTACAGAACCAAAAACGATTGCATTTTATTTAACTAGCACCTCATTCTTTCTTCAACCTCAATTATTTTCCAATCGCTCGAAACTTTTATTAGTGTTGATAGATTAATTTGGAAAGTTTCGTGTTGTCGAGATACACAAGTTACAAGTGAAATAATTCACTTTTCGGTAATGTTCGCGATAGGTGCAGCTTGCGACAAAATTAATGACACACTTAGAGTCTACAAGACGATTTATGGCAGCTCGTCTGCTTTGGCGTGCGGTTATTATGAGCGGCATGGATCATAATAATGCGTGAATATTCACCGGATCGATGTAGACTTAATAAATTGTTTCGTGTTGTGGCAGACATTATTTTACAATTAATCCGGACCGGTTTTAACGAAATAAAATGTACAAAAGTATTATTACACTTGTCACAGGCGTTTTTCGTCCGCAGCCAACTTTGTTGTCGGATTTTTAAAGGCAACGCTGTGTTCAAAGCGGTGGAACCGCAAGCCATTCGTTTTTCCCTCATTTCCGACTACATTGAGTGTTGGGATATATGTATTTGATATATTTCATTCTTTCGTTTCGCTACACTTGTTAGGTAATGTTTGGTATAAAAAATTGCGGTAGGCGGGGGCTTGTCCTCTCCAACAGCTACACATAACTTCTTGAGATTTGTCTATTTCGAAAAAAAAATCTGGTGAAAATAAAAAACCAGTGGGAAAATATTTTTTTTATTTATGTATGATAAACGTGTATTTGTTTCGACTGTATTTTTGGCTATTTTGAGTCCTATTTCCTCGTGGAGATCGATCACTGTTCGAGGCTCAGTTGCTCGGCTTCCCAAAGCCTCTAAGGTGCCTCCAAGATTAATTATGCACCATCCATACGCACACAGATGCCAGTTTCGGAACGTGGATAAATACGGCCGAAGGTAAGTTTAATTAATTTCCGTTTGGTGTATGAAAGTTGGTCGTTTGCGAAGCTTGAATGACACATCTGATTCAAAAAGGTCAGAGTCGACGCCGCCGGCATGTGTCTCGTTAATCTGAATTGCGATAACTTTTTTCAGAGCTGCGTTCTATGTGCCAGACGTGTTAGAGATACTAAATTTTTTAATTCAATGGTGGGAAACAGGGATGAATAACGGAGATTGGGACGAGAAATTATTTTATGTTTTTAGTATTATAGAGCTTGAATTATGTAGGGAATGTGTTGCAACGACGATGAAGAAAATCGAATTGGTACCATAAAGGGTATCTTTATTTACGTCACGTTGAGCTTGTTGTTTGTGAAGTGCAACGTTCTAAAGCTCGGAAAATTGATAAAAGGGCTGATATGGCTTGAAAATATGCGTGATTGAATTAGACTTTTAAAATAAATTTACAAAAACACATCAGTACATTGCTCAAATATTACGTATTACTTCATGTTTCAGAAAACAGAAAGTAATTATGTGTATGTTTATTATCTAACCTCTCTGGATGAACACTCTAATTTTAAAATACATATACAGGGTGCGCCAGAACTCGCGCCCCAGAGAAAAATTTCAAGTAAGATAAGATACCAGAAACATAGAAAAAATTTTTTTTTAATTCTATCTGTCAAAATATTTTGACATTTATTTTTTGACATTTGACATTTTTTATGTTTATTTAATGATACTGATGATCTTGTATATGGTTTTTTATAATTATTTAATAAAGGTACAAAAATTTTGCCAATAAAAGCCACAAATAACATTAAACAGAGTTACAATTTAGGATACCGCTTCCTTGTTTCCTCTTTGAATCGCCTGTAGCAAAAAAACTTGGAAAATTATTTTTCCAACAGAAATGAATAGTCAAAGTTCAAAATTTAAACTCTCATAACTTCGAAATTTTCATAGGTAGAATTTTTTTAACATTTTTTCCATGTTCCTGGTGTCTTACCTTACCTTATCTGGCGCACCCCGTTTAAACAACAAACATATTTATGATTTACTTGGCTACCTTTAAATAATTATTTTACAAGAAATTGTATCAAAAAATAAAATTTTAACAATAGACATTTATGTTTGATGTTGCTGTTAAGAACTAGAAATCGATAAATGCTTTTAGCTAATTACTTAAGTTAAAAATCATCACCAAAGTTTTTAATCGCTTTTGTTTTAATGACCCACCCAACTATGCTTATTTATTTATGGCAATCTCTTAACCCAATTACGCATTTCGTTAACAGCAAACTTTCTCCCGGATTGTCCATTGGGTTGTATGCTTTTAATTATGAAGTTTGCATTCTCGTCAGCACCGGTAAGAAATTTAAAATTTAGGACGCATATAACTTTTATTAAAGTCGTCTGAAACATCTCCTGGAAGAAAATTGGTAAACCGCCTTCATGCTGAGCGCTCCCCGTGGTCATATTTTAAATCTTTTTATTGCCACGTTGTTTTTGAACAAGCAGTTCGTTAGAAACTGAAATTTCCGTTTGAGTTTGTTTTATCAATTCCTTCTCCATGTCATCGAGGTTACTACTAACATCGAAAAACGGAATAAATCAATGATCAAAATTTATGACTTACACTATACGTATATGTTAAAGACGCGGTTTGTGTTGTATTTTCTGGCGTGTTTTAATATATTACAAGGCGACGAAAGAAGTTGCTTTTTATATGATTTATCACTGATAGTTTTTCGAGTCGAAATAGAAGCTCGAGAATTGTAAGAAAACCAACTGCACAGTCATAAAATCAGGATATTTATTTATACACACAAGCTTTAATAAAATATATTTTAGATATAATCTATACAAAAATTATTTTATACAGTTAGGGAAATTCCTCATTGTTTCTAATCTCACTTTTTACTAAGCTATCATCAAAACCTTGCCCGTTCTCCATACCACTAAGCTCACTTTTTACTAAACCTTGCCTCCCCTCTATTCCACTAAGCTCACTCTTGAGCAAACCTTGCCCCTCCTCAATACTGCCAACCTCACTTTTGATTAAACCAATGTCCCCTCCTTCTTTCGAGCCAATCAGACTGTCGCTCTGACTTAATCCCTCCACCACATCTACTAAACTCTGCCCTTTCTCACTATCCACTAAACCTTGCCCCTCCTCCAAGGTATTAACTAAACCTTGCCCTCTTTCCGCCGAACTAACCTCGCTTTTGGCCTTCTCAGTGGCGACAAGATTCTGATTAAAATTCGAATTTTCTTCACTTGCTTGTTTATTTGAAGTATCCAGAGAAGATTTTAACGAAATGCGACGATTATGTATCAAAAAATCGGCCTCTTCTAAATATTTATTATTCGAATCGTCCAAATTAGTGTATCTTTTGTATAATTTATTAGATCGGGGCTCGTTATCATTAATTCGGTTATCAATAAATGAGAAAGAGTGTGAGTTATGTCGATAATTGGAACCGTGTCTGAAAGGATAAATCCTTTTTAATTTTGAAAAGTAAGGCGAATAAATATCTTTTTTTCTTCGCTTGAATTCTGGTAGGACAGTAAACTTGACAGCAGGGACTTGTATTAACCTATTGCCTTGAGGCACGAGAGCAATATAATCGTATTTTTTGGCAGATTCCATTCGACGGTTTTTCTCATGCTTTGGAAATAAATTAATCAAAACTGGTTGTTCGTGCGGCACAAGTTTGATACTGTCGGTATCCGGTAGTTGTTTATAGAAATGCATTTCTAGGAAATCATTAGAAGCACGTATTCCACCTAAAAGTAAATAATCAAACCTGGCATAACACTTCGGTTTTTCTACTTTTTTTGGGCATTTGGACGAAAGCTACTGTAGTTGGCTCTTCTTCCTCACAACAAATATTTTCTTTCCCCAGTGTCACTTGTGACTCTTCAAGTTGATCGTACAACTGTTTGGTAGCATTTGTCATGTTTTCGTAATCTTGTTGATTTTGCATAAATTCTTCATCATTTTTTGGATCAATTCTCTGTGCTTTCTCTTGATCTTTTTCCTCTTTGTCGGCATCGTTGGTACTTCTTGCGAAGAACTTGTGAAGAAATGATGATCCTAATTTGTTTAAGACTGACTTAGCTGTACTTGTATCTGCATCACGAGGACATTTTCCGTTTGGACAGTCTTCGTCGTAATATTCCTCGTCACCGCTTTCTCTCGTTTCAAGATTGTTTCCAGGCTGGATATTTACAGGCTCGATTATGTTATCAAAATCGGCGACTTCTTCAAGAAAATTTTTACTCGGTCTTAGAATGCTTGCTGCCTTTGTGGTTTCACTCCCAAAAATATACATCAATGTGGCGATACTAAAACAAATATTTTAAAATTATCAAGGTTAATTAAATTTCTTACCAGATTATAACATTACGAAGCATCTGAAGGTGTAAAAATCACAGAAAATGTACATTCTAAATTAGAAAAACGTCACGTAAAAAAACTATCCCAAATGTCGTAAGTTGTCAAAATTCAAATTTTATACAGAGCATGACATGAAAATTGTGTAGGTTTGTGTTGTGCGTTTTCTTTTTTTTACTTATCTGAGCCTATTTTTACGACTGTTGTAAACAAAGGTTAGACCTTTGTAGCCCGTGTTGGGTCTATACGTTTTGTTTGATTGCTTTTTTACCACTCATTCAGATAGCCTCAAAGTCTTCAAGTTTCAGATCTGATCAAACAAATTTTAGCATACAGGTGATCTAGTTTTCCTAGAACTTTCTGCAAAATTTAATATTCAACTTAAGATATATTTGTGCAATATTTCAAAGCACGCTCCGCATTTACGTCCTGATTTTTCCCGGTAAAACACCTCCTTAAAGCCGATAAAAGAAAATGATAATAATAAAAAGGTTGTGTCGGCACGCGTAACCTACATATCCGAGCAAATTAATATGTTTGGGAAGTAAAGCAGCTTCCTGCGTAATGAAATTGGGATAGAGCGTCTTGAATGATCCATGGATGGTAATGCTCGCCTAAGCTGTAGGCACTAACATTCTCTCTCCACCAAGATATATCTAAGGAAAGACGGAGGTATATACGAAGTCGTTACCGAAACAGGTCACAGGTAAGTTGGTAACGCATTGTGATTACCCAGCTTTAGATTCTATTTAGAAAACAAAATAGACATCACCGAACCCCCTTTTACAACACCTAGTTTACAGCAGAAACAATAAAATTATACGGCCGTGATTTATTTTGCATACGTTATACCTATGTGTACGGAGTGTTCTTTGTCTTGATTAAACGAATGAAGGATTGGATCAGAAAGTTATCCTAATGTGTGTAGGTGCCTGCACCGGATTTACAGACACGTCAAAATATAAATACAACAAATCAATGAAAAGTTTTACTACGTACTATTAGAAGACAAACTCGTTTGTAATAGTATGAATAATAATCTTAACAGTTAACTTATAACTACTTGTTACCTTCCCGGCGTGAGAAAATACGTAATCAACTAATTCTTTAATGATCTGAAATTCTATTTTTATCACCGTTATTTAATTAATACTGCGCAATAATAAAACTTAATACGACATAAAGCTTTCCACTACTACGCTAATTTTAGCAAATTTCTAATTGTAATAACGAAGACAGTAACAGCATGCAATTAAAATTCTTAGTGCGTAATTTGTGTCCTTTACCCTTACCATTAATAGAAGCCCATGTACAGCAGTTATCACCATTGAATTTTTCTCGCTACATTTAAATGAAATCCAAATCGAGTTTGTTTCATTTGTAAAGGGAGCCGTCATTTTAAAATCGAACCGTGTTATTCCCTAATCAAACATTCTGAATAATTGGTCCATGTCATGAATGACGGACAAAGCCATGATGTATGTGTTTAATCCCTCGCCAATTGCACAAATTCATCGTTTAGAAAATGTTATTCGTGGTTTGCTGCAAGATTTGCATTATGTTCGGGACATAAAACAGTGGGGAAAAGGTATCCATAAAACCAGACCGAAATGACGTTAATAAAGAAATCTTCGTGAATATTTCTCAGGATATAAAACTCGAAATACATATTGGTTTCGTTCGGGTCGCTGTCGTGCTTCAGTAAGGGAAATTAGGAAAAACTGCTTACTTTCAACGTTTCCCCATTGAGATTTCCCTCAAGTGTATTTTGATCGTTCCTTTTCGACGAGTCGCAAATTTTCACGATAAATATTTTAAAATTACAAGTTGGCACAATGTTAGGAAATTCTCCTCTTCGACAAGAGGAAAAATGCTTAATCTGCAAGGCAGCGAAACAACACGCCGCACATTCTATCTTAAGATAATATCTAATAAGATTTTGATGAAAGAGGACGTCTTCAAGGGTACATAATTGGATTAAAAATGATTAAATAATTAATCAAAAACATTTTATGTTTTAAGAATTTTAAATTTCCTTACTTAATAAATCATTTTAATAATAAATGACGGTGAAAAATAACGAAATAAAATTGAGAAATGTGAATAAATAACTTGAGTAAATACATACTAATGAAACAGCTAATGGATTCCGGTGCGATTTTTTTATTACTTCTGAAGCACACGAAATAAAATATGTTGCAATTAAATTTTTGTTAAATTAAGTCTAAATTGGTTACTTCCTCTTGGCAATACAATAATAAATTACGCTATTAAGGGGTCCCTTTGTTCGATTGAGGAAAACACTTAGATAATATATCCCCTAAGACGAGCCTTTGATCAATCGAACCAGCACATTCCTTATCTTTACCAAATGTTGCTATATTAGCAACAACTTTCGATAAAAATTTTGACATGTGTTCCACTGAAGAAATCTTTTTTTTTTCTCCTTTATACATTACATCATGTATTTAAAAGCATGTCAAATTTAATTGTCGGGCATTTGATTTGCAACTCTTTGAAGAGCTAATAACGCAAAGATAAATTTGGGAAATTCTGTTCACTCATTAGTCTCATTAGTGATATCAACATAATTTTTGATTACAGTGGCATGTTTTCAACGCACTAATTGTTCGCGTTTTTTCTGTTTGGTTTGTTGTAATTGTATTGACGTCGAAAATATATTTTTAATTTTGTCATTCGGAAACTCTCAATCAATGACTAAATTTTCACACTGCACTAATTTCGACAGGACACTGCAAACAAAAGTCATTGAATGGAATTGCCAGAAAAACAGCTTTGATGTTGAATCAGACTCCAGTCGATAAACGACAAATTTTCAACAACTGCATGTCACTGACAATTTAATACAAATCATACAAAACTAAATAAAATTAAAACTTTTGGTCTACATTGGTATAAATTTGCATAATTTTAAAAAGTTGAAAATTTTAAATGGCACGACCCTACTTGCGATATATCGTTGGAAAGCCCATAACAAGCGCTTTTCAAAAATGTCATACAACAGCCTATTTGGTAAAGTTATTTTTCCAATTATTCAAAAACGAAGACGTTAAATTTTATTTTTTTTCACTATATTCAAGGGTGGGTGGAGGTGTGTCACTTATCATGTCGTTTTAATTCCCCCTAGGAACGGTTTTGAGTGATTATTAATAACTTTTTCAGTTGAGAGAAATTGCCGATTGCAAGTTTTAAAATTGACACAGTGTATACACTGATGAACTTACACAAACGAGTCATTCATAATTGTTGATTGTCATTCATTAAATTTGGCAATGTCATCAATTCCACTTTTTTTCCCTTGAATTTAAAATGTACTCAAATGACGAAAAAACTGACATGATCTTCATAAATAGAGAATGTACAAAATGCTGTGGCTAAATCTGTATCATCAAAAATCAATTACGGTTTTTATTATACAGTATGTTCTCGGCTTGAGTTTACAAGAGGAGAAAAATTGTATCTTTGATTTTACGCCAAAACTGCAAAGGAAAAACAATTTTTGCTTCACCTGAAACGAGCAAATCTGAAATTAAAACTATTTTGATTTAGTGAAAAGAAAAGTTTATTTGACAACTATATGTCATTTTGACAATTAATTCATGAATTGAATAATGATAGTTCTTGTTAAAAACAACATTATTTTTTAAATTAAAACTGTTTCTTTGAGTTGCCATTTATTAAAATTATGTTTTTCAGAAAAGTTTTTGTTAATTTAAACTCATTTTTCAAAATGACATCGTTGTCAAAAAAATAAATAAAAAGTAGAGAAAAATTGTTACAAGTGCAAAATCGAGAAAAAAATAAACTCTTTTTCCACTGAGTCAGAATAATGAAGTCTTAATTACAAATTTGCTCGTTTCAGGTTCAAAGCAGTTGCAGTTGCAGTTTTGACGTAAAATCAAAGATACAATTTTTTTCTCTTGTAAATTCATTCCGAAAACATACTGTATATGACTCACCCTGTATAATTTAATTAAACCTTATTATAATTCTAATTGCATACTAATTTTAGAGTATCAGTTTTTATTACGTAATTACCATGCTTAAACATAATACAGTTGTTATTATTCTCTCTAGTGTCGATCAAATTATTAATAAAATTAAATAACGCTGGATGATGTCGGCTTTTGTTAACCATTATCTAATTATAATTTATTAAAAGTTATTGAAGTATTAATTTAAAAAGCTTTATTAATTTTGAACACATAATGAAAATAAATAGTTTAAGCGAAAAACGTTTAGTTCCATATTTACTACTACTACTTACACTGTCCAAACAGCATCAGTACGAATAAAATTTCTCACGATGTCGTACATCAACCATATTAACATGAGCTTGAATGCAAAACCCAAACTTTCAACTTTTCATTGTAACTTTTTTTGTATAAATTTTTAATAACGGTGCGTCTTTCTCGCTTCTGTTTCAACTCACTTTTTGTTCAATGTTTGTCCATTAAAGTAACATTGGAAACAAAACTTCCTAATCCAATCCCTCTTGATCCCAAAATCAGGCATCGGTACATATATCCAATTACGAGACGAGATCAGTACAGATTGTCGAGCTCTCGAACTTAATAGCGATTCACTCTACAAACCATACTCCATCAAAATTCATTTGCTAAAGCCAGCAATCGACGTTTTGGCCATAAATGGCGACCAGTCACAAAATTAATTAGCCCATGTATCAAATATTGAACGGATTGCATCCCAAACCCAACCGAAGACGATTTTAGCTTTCAAATAATCAATTTTAATTATCAAGAGTGTCATTAATACCTCTGAAGGTTACTGACTGACGACTAATCTTTGTTGTAAATGACAGATTACAAATAGAGAATTGACGTTGTAGTTTGTTACATCATAACAATGAAATATTGATTTAGAGAATTTTGAAGCAATTTGAAACAGATATTACAATAATGTATACAGGCTGCGCCAGAACTCGCGCCCCAGAGAAAAATGCCATATAAGGTAAGATACCAGGAACATGGAAAAAATGTTAAAAAAAATTTATCTATAAAAATTTCGAAGTTATGAGGGTTTGACTCTATTTATTTCGGTTGGAAAAATAATTTATAGG